TGTTTACATCTAGTTGACGTAGACTCTCTTGAACTCTATGAATACTACATTCTCCAGAGAGAGGAATCAAGGATTTCATATCGTTTCGCAAAGAAGTTGCCAATCCTAAGGATTCCATATTGTTCCTCAAAGAAGTTGCCAATGCTAGTTTGGGTTTTCAATGTCAATTACTTATTTAACCCATTTTCAGTGTTAAAAATAATAATAAAATGGCCTTGTATACAGTGTCTTTATTTATTGCAAAAAGAATGAGTCCTCATGAACTTTATTTTATATGAAAAATCCAAAATAATAATATGGTTGGAATTAGTCGTGATGAATATGACATCTTATAATTCTTTTTATACAAAGTCTTTTTTTATTACACAAAAAGAATTAGTCGTCATGAAGTCTATTTATATGAGTATTCCAAAAATAGTAATAATATAATAAGGTGATGAAATTAAATATGCTTAAATAAATTAGACAAAGTCCTGTTTAAGAATTAAGAGAGTATTTGCTTTGTTGTAACGCAAATCTTAATGAAATTATTTTTTATTTGGTTTTACAACTTAACATAATAACATGCATTTCAATTAAGTGTTAAATTTATTTAATTTTCTTCACTTCTATGAGTTTGTAACAGTTTATATTTTCGATACTAAAATATACCATAAAACACACATTAGAAAAAAAATTCATTTGCAAAAGTACATCTAAAATGTGAATTAACTTATATCATAGTAAAAAAAATTTTATTGCCTAATTAATTAATTAATTACCCTCGTTTTTTAAGGAATATAGATTTTTCAAAATTAGATTACTTGACAAGGTGATTGACCATCCACTTATGTCTTTTTTTTTTTTTTTTATGTTTTTATTATTATTTAGATGCATATTTAAATTAACTATTGAAATTTAATTTATTTAATCTTGCCCTTATATATGTCAGAGTCAATCGTTAGAAAACGATGACTAAAAAGTTTGTGATTAAAAAAAAAAAAAAATGTGAGGGGAGATGACTAGAAAGTTTTCTTCAAACAGAATAAAGTGATTATATTTGATTTTTGTGCAAAGTCTTTTTTAAATATACATTGCACCATGATCTGATCTGATTCATCATCGGACAATCTATCTAATCTATTAGAAATCACACTTTACATGTCTCAAAACTATTTAAGAATTCATCACTCACTATCCTGAAAGCTGACACCATTAGAATTCTGTTACTTTTAGAAGGGTGATCCTGTCAAGATTAAAAATCTTAGTTTTTTTGGTAGGGATTTGCTTACTTTGTTGGTTGCCAACAGGGGTCGAAAAATGATGAACTCTAGGATTTGCTTAATTTGTTGGTAGGGATTGGTTTGGAGCGGTGGTGATGGACGTGGGGGTTGGGGATGTTAGAAATTGATAAAACAAAAGTTAGTTAATAAGATATGTTTTGGTAATTTCTAGATATTAAGAAAATGGGTCACATAGACAATTTTCTTATAAAACCCAACGGAAATTAACGGTGTTAACTTTCAGGATAGTAAGTGATTAACATGGTAATAGTTGACATCTAAGTGATAAATTTTAATAAAGCTTGGGAGGTAAATGATTTTTTAGGTATACATATATATAATTTCATGATTCGTAAGCATCATGCATGTGCATCACAGAGGATTTACCCTTCGATTGCCAACTCTCTTTTGTTCTTTTTTTCTTTTTTAAATTTAATTTATCTTTTACCATCATTTTTTTGGCATAGTGCCTATAACCGTCTCATTAAACAAAAGCTTAATATCTTGAACTCGAATTCGAAACTAGTGATAGAGCCAAAAATTTTGTTTCAACTTGAAAGAAAAAAATTGAAACATTTAAAAGGTATTTTATTAATACTACTATTTGAATAAATAAAGATAGGGGCAGAGCCGGAGCTAGGATTGGATTTGTGAGGTTCCCGAGTATAAACCCATACACACAATTAAAATATATATTTCAAAGTTTAGATGTTGTGAGTGGTGGCTGTAATACATACATATAAAAGTATATAATACAAATTTTACATTTGTGATTTACAAGTTTCACGTCATAAAATTTACAAGTTTTACATAGATATAGTATTGCAATCATGTACTATAACAGAACCCATGTTGTGGGCTGTCAAAAAAACTAAACTACCGCGTTTAAATGTTTAAATTTCAAACTAATACATATAAATTATTTGTTTCAAGTATCCAAGTCAAATATCCCACTCAAAATAGTAACTCAGATCTTATCTCTTCAAAACCTAGTCGTTGCCCAAAAAATTTAATTTAATTTTAAAATTTTGAGTTAACGACATGTTCCCACCCAAAAAATGGTCCATTGACACTTTCCCAGCCTTAGACTGTTAAAATACCTTTTTATTATTCAAATAATATGTTTCTCTCTAATTTGAGAGGGAAATATATTGATTTATGAAAAAACCCTTCTTCTTAGCCCCTTCCATTGCTTCTCTTCTTAGCCTTTTCCATTGCCAGCAATTGTCGTTGGTGTTGGGGAGTGCCAGCGACCAGAAAATATTGCAAACAAACATTCCTCATTTGTATTTCAATCCAACAAACACAAAAGTTGAACGAATCAAACCCAATTAATCTAGTTAAAACTGGAAAAAAACCTAGGGTGGGGAAGCTTCGACTGCCGACGATTGGTGAGTAAACAGGATCGAGAATGTTGAGGCTTTTAGAGAGGAAGATCTAGAAAGTTGATTGGTGGTGGTAGGGATGATTTTCGACACCGGACATGACCAAAAACCTGTTGGGAAGTTGAAAGGTCGTGTAGTGCACGACTGACGATGGGCGAGCGAAGGACAGTGATGGAGGTAAGGGTTTTCTATAGTGGGTTGTGGGGAGTGTGATGGTGGTGTTTGGGGGAATTTATGGCAAAGAAATCGACCGAAAATCTAACTTGAAGGGTTGGCCATGCGAGTGGAGGTGGTGGTGGGAAATGGTGAGTGATGACGGCAAATGGAGGCTTGGACTTTGTAGAGGAGGTGATGGGGATTTTGTGGGTGGTTTCAGAAGTGATTTTGAACGCCGAGATCAGCTGAAAAAGGGCAAACCCACTAGTTGTGAATGCTGCTAACGTGCACCATCCCTTTTTCTTTTCTTCTTCTTCGGCTGGTAATGTTTGTTGACCATTTTGCCCTCATTAATAATGGACTTTTGATCATTTTGCCCTTCCTCATAACAAAAATTACCAACAAAATTATGCTTTAGGTACTAAAAGGGTATTTAAATAGTGGGTGGGTATGAATTTGTCAATGGACCATTTCTGGGGTGGGTATTTTTGGGTGTCTTTAACTCTAAAATTTTAGTGTAGTTTTAAAATTATAGTCCATTTGGTTCAAAAACTTAATTGTTTTCCTCGATAGTTATTTGGCTTCCAAATGACTTTTCATGTTGCGGTTCTGAGTTGTAGTGTAAGCATTTTCTTTTAAAAAAAATAAAAAAATTGAACATAAAGGAAAATGAAGCTATTAATTTCGTTCGGAAATACAGGCATTGAAATTTTCAAAAGTAAACCAACTTCAAATTAAAAATCACTTCAAAGTAAAGATCAGAAATGAATAACTAAAGATTGTATTTTACAATTTTTTTTCTTCTTTGCTATCTTTCATTTCTATAAAAAAAACCAAAAAAAAAAAAAAAAAAATTCCTATATTCTTTTTATTGATACACTGCTAATAGACTAAAGAAATCTATTTTTTAAGACACCATGTTTCAAAGTTTTAAAATTAAAATTTTTCCTTATCCATAAATTCTATAAATACCCTTCATTACATCATTATTATTAAAATAAATCTTAAGAACATAATACAATTAAACAACAAAAAAAATAAATAGATTAAGATAGCTACCAATACTCCCAAAAAAAAAAACCAATGTGAAGCAATTTTTTTTCTAGTGTTTATAACCTAATATTCCCATTGCGGATCTTCTTCTGCTGTTAAATTATTTTTTTGGCTTAAGAATAATTTGAATAAAATAAAGAAAAATTACTATTTATGAGATAATGGTGAGTTGCCAAAAGCATTTGTAAAGATTAGGAAATTAAAGTTAATTTTAATAATTTAATATAAGGATAAATTTGTTATTATAAAATTTACTAAAAAGTGGGACTTCTTTAGTCTATCAATGGGCATAAAGTAAAGTATAGCTGATGGCCGATTGACAAAGGAAGGTTAAAGTCTTTTTAAATTTTATAAATAAAATTCTATGCACGAATGACGTAAAAATCACCTGTATTGAAGTTAATAACAATTTCGTCCCTGAAGTTTGATATAACCACCTTTAGTCTTGTAAAATTTTTTAGTAACATTTTAAACCCTACAAGTACCAATAACAGCGACAAAAACATTACTATCAACCACTAAAACATTATTAGAAAAATTTTATAATTCTAAACTTTAGAGATAAAATTATTACTTTTGCTTTTTATTTAGGTGCTTCACTGCTTCTTGTTGGTTATAAAGGTAAATAGAAAGTAGTGAAATGATGTAGTTTTGTTTTAGAATATAGTGCTGCATCAAGCACTGTCGTTTTGTAACAGTCTCCAAAAAGTTGTTAGAAACAAAATGCTACTATATAAAGGTGAGCATCTTTCCCTCTTGTAACTAATTATTGAATTGAGATCCGAAGATCACGTAGAAGATAATGCAGTAACTGCAAATTAGGCCAAACCTCAACAAGCGGAGAAGAAATAGCAACAATCCTGGACCTTTCTTTTCGGTTTTGTTTTATGCCTTGATTTATGCAACAGACTTTGTTTTTGAATTTTGTATATTGTTTTAGTAGGCGTCAGTTACTCATAGCAATATTATAAAGTCTTATACTCTGTACACAAAAATTATATAAAAAAACACTAAAAGTTTTCACAGCCAGTTAGTTTGTTAATTCTACATGGTATTAGCCAGAACGACTTACGTCCTTTCCTAAAATTCTTCATCTCTACTCACGTCTCTCCTCTTTTCTTTCTCATTCCTCTCCATAGCCACCATGGCCGCTTCCGCCAATTCTTCCTCTACTTCTGACAACACTCCCAACACTCTCTGTACCTTTAATCCTTCCTCCAGCATTACTATCACAAAACTTACCCGCACCAACTTTCCAACTTGGAAAGCAACCATCCTTCCCTATCTTAAGGGTCAGAAAGTGTTTGGCTATGTTGATGGCACTATTAAAATGCCTGCGCAGGAAATTACTCTCAGTGATGGCAACATGCAACCCAACCCAGCCTTTGAAATCTGGGAAACTCAAGATAATCTTATTCTAAGCTGTATTAATGCCTCTCTTACTGATGATGTACTCATGCAGGTAGCACACTGCACAACTTCTTATGAAGTCTGGACATCTCTTCACACTGCTTTTGCTACACAATCAAAAGCCAAGGCCATCCAAGTCCGTTCGCAACTTGCTACTGCTCGGAAAACTACTCAGTCTATTACATACTATTTCATGTATGTGAAGACGCTGTCTGATGACTTTGCTATGGCAGGACAACCCCTTAAATGTGATGAAATCATCACATATCTACTCGCTGGTCTTGGACCTGAGTATGATGCTCTTGTTACAACAGTTTCTATTAAAGAAAATGTCACCCTAGAAGAGGTGTACTCTATGCTACTCACCTGTGATGCACGTGTGCAGCAACATCAACAAGCTCTCTTGTCTGCCACACCACCGGCCAATGTTGCTACCAAGCAACAATCTTTTTCTGGATCTCGTGGTAGTAGCAACAATTCTATCTTTCGAGGCAGAGGCCGTGGCCAACACTCCTCCTGTGGTAGCGGTAATTTCCAAACTGCTTCTCATTCAAATAACAACTACAATAATCTTTGGTGTCAGCTATGTGATAAACCTGGCCCTACTGCGGCTCGCTGCTTCAAGAGATTTGATAGTCACTTTCTTCCACAACCTCCTCGCCCAACTCCTCAAGCGAACATTGCCTCCAACCAACTCTCTTAGCACTCAACGGAGTAAGAATGGCATGTCGACATTGGAGCTACGCACCATTTGACTAACAACTTCAACAATCTTAATGTTCGTGGTAAAGAGTATGTTGGAAATGATCAAATTCAAGTTGGAGATGGCACAGGTTTGCACATAACTCACCTAGGCAAGGCATCCTTATCCACACACTCTCACTTTGGTGTGCTGTCGTAGGCAACCAAGATTAAAATCCTTCCTAACCTAACTACTGAACTATAAATAGGGTAAGCAAGGGTCGATCCCACGAAGAGTGTCTAGCCGAATTTTCGATGATGTGAATAAGGCTGGGGGGTTTTGAGTAAAACAGAAAACAATCTTAGCAAAAACAAAAACAAAAAAAGCAATTCAATTCGAAATCAATTAATATAACGAAACTTGGTCTCCGTCAACATCCACCATCGGAATCTTACAACTGATCATTGATACAAAAGTAAATCAATTCTTACTTTGAATATTCACCGTTGGAACTATTTTCCTATCTCTCCTTAATTGTAATTAATTAGGAAACAAGCGATCTTAATTAATCTTACCACTAAACAACCCTAGACAAGCGCTCAAGATTTAATCTAGTGGCGGCCTTAAGAATTAGAGAGATCGATGAAGCTAAACAACACAAACTCAAGCGGTTGTATTTAATTTAGTTGAATTTTCTTCTTAAGATTACGAATTCCCGACGCAACAAATTATTAACCCTAATTGCTTCACAAGTTAGAGGGATCAAACAATTACGGATTTGATATCAAACTTAGCAGTAGATTGCTACAAATAATACACTAGTAGGCCTCCTAGTAATTAAATGCATCAATCACAAAAATATGCACAGAATAACATCCAATACTCAAAGTATAAAATTGAACACTGAAATAAAACAGATTAGATCTCACAGTTATTGATTCCGAGGTCTCCGTTTCCTTCGACCAAGTTATAAAAATTAGCCTCTCATGGCCATCACGAAAATTCCAAAGGAAAAGTTACAGAGAAGACTAGAGAGAGGCGTGTGTGTCTCCCAAAAACCTAATCTGATCCCCTTAAAAAAATATCCAGTTTAAGTATTTGAATTCCACTAAATCTCCTAAAAGAAATATTCTAATATCCTAAAATAACATTAATCCTAATTTGATTCTAATTAATTGAAAATAAGATAAAGTCCTAAAATAAAATAGGAAAGTGGTGATTCTGAGCCGTAACTTGTGTGCCACATGTCTTCAAATCTTCCAATAATAAACTGCCCAATTGATTTGCATGACAAGGCAAAATGTTCTAGAATGTCAGCAGTGCAGATGCGTCAACTTCAAGCCTGATTACCACCTTGATGCAGTGAGTATCTCTCCAAACTCAAAACATGAACGTTGTATATCTCTTTCTTAACGTTCCACAGCATTTTGAATCATCTCAATCGGAGCTCGTATATGAGAGTTATGCTCAGATTACGAAGCAGTGTCGAAACTGTCTGAATTTACCTAATTAGTTCCCTTTTGCAATTAACGCCTCCATTTGCAATTAACGCCTCCATTTGCATCCTAAATCAAAATAGAATAATAATGAGTACAATTAGGTAACAAATACGTATAAAAGACTAAACATTAAGGGGGTAAATATAACATTTTGCATTCCCATCACACTCGTTTGTCCTTGATCAAATATTAGATGTTCCTCAAATTACCAAAAATCTGATTTCCATCAAGAAATTCACTGAGGATAATCCTGTCTATTTTGAGTTTCATGCTTCTTTTTTCTTGATCAAAGATTACTCGGGGAACACCCTGCATAAGGGTATCGTCAAGGATGGTCTCTACTATTTTTCCCAGCCTCTTCAACATTTATATCCCAAAGCTCTTGTTGGTGTCCGTGTCTCAGTCTCAGATTGGCATTGTCGTCTTGGGCACGCATCCTACAACACTGTCAATCATGTTATCCGCACCAATCACCTTTCATTTATTTCCAATAAAAGGCACCGAATATGCCCTGAATGTGAGATGGCAAAAAGCCATAACTTACCTTTTTCAATTTCTGTACCTCATGTTACGCAGCTCCTAGAACTGATTTATTCAGATGTATGGGGGCCTAGTTCCATGATTTCGAGCTACGGCTCTCGTTATTATGTTTTTTTTTTAGATGCTTTTACAAAATTTATTTGGTTATTTCCTCTTAAGCAAAAATCTGATGTTGAAAGTGTTTTCTTAAACTTTCAGACGTATGTTGAACGCCACTTTAACACCAAAATTAAGGCTATTCAAACTGATTGGGGGGGTGAGTATCGTAGACTAAATACATATTTTTCCAAATGTAGCATTCAACATCGTCTGGCTTGCCCATACACTCATGAGCAAATGGGATCCGTTGAAAGTCGACATCGCCAAATTGTTGAAATGGGTCTAGCCTTATTAGCCTATGCTAATATGCCAAAACCATATTGGGAGGATGCTTTTCTAACCGCTGTGTATATAATTAATCGTCTTCCCAGTAAAATTTTGAATAATTGCTCTCCCTTTGAAAAAGCTTACAATCAAAAGCCAAATTATAACTTTATGCGTGTTTTGGCTGTGTCTCTCACATCAAGGGTATAAGTGTCTCGATTTATCTACTGGCAAAATCTTTGTGTCCCGACATGTTATATTTGATGAAGCTTTTTTTCCTTACAAATCTAACACTTCTGCATCCATAGTACCTGAGTCAGCCACTATCACCTTACCATCCAATCTACATCCAAGTGTCTCGAATTCTCTCACTCTACCTGCAGGTGATGTTACTAGTGCCAAACCTGTCTCTTCGCATGAATATGATATTATGCTAGCTGCTACTCCTACAACTGAAGTGTCAAATGCAGTGCCACCTCCAATAATGCATGCAGTTCGTCCTTCTATTGCAGATGCACCTGTTCCTTCCACCATAACAAGAAGATGACTACTAGATCACAGACAAACTTTCTCAAACCAAAGCAACCATATGTAGGGTTCATCAAATACCCAGTGCCTCAAGCACTTGTCGCTGAATCCTGCCACACCGAGGTTGAACCAACCTCCTTTACTGAAGCTTCAAAGAACCAAAAGTGGAGGGAAGCAATGTACGTGGAATTTAATGCTCTCTTACGAAATAAGACTTGGGATCTTGTGCCAGCTCGTTCCGATATCAATCTTGTTAGAAATAAATGGATTTACCATATCAAGACTCACGCCGATGGAACTATGGAGAGGCACAAGGCACGACGGGTCGCTAAAGGTTATCATCAACAACATGGTGTTGATTTCCTCGAAACCTTTAGTCTCGTCGTCAAACAAGGAACCATTCGGTTGGTATTGTCTATAGCTCACTCAAAGAATTGGTGTATTCGGCAACTGGATATCGAAAATGCCTTTCTTCATGGGCTGCTACAAACCTCATGTTCCACTCTGCGTGACGGTCACGGCCTCATCTAACCGGAGGTACGGCTGGAACCTCATGTNTGCAATTCTCCCAGTCTGTTTAGTCCTTTAGTATCTTATTTTCACTGTAGTCTTACTTTTATCATTTGGGAATTTGCTCTCCATCCCTTATCAAACTGCCAATTTCCTAATTTCAATGCAGTACTTGTAAGAATAGTTTTTACAACTACAGAAGATTCAGACTATGAATTAGAAATTTATTAGGAAAAACAGGGCTTACTACAGTCAGCTGACCTAGAACTTTTAAGTGTTTACTCAATTTTTTTCTTTATTTATTTATTTGCGGGGCTGGTTGAATATTCTCTTTTCTACTACACCCCCTGTAACTTATTGGTTTCAAACATTCAACAATTGTGAGACATTTCATATACAGTATTTTGCATTTAGTAAATTTCATTTACCAAGGCTAAAGTCTTTTTTGTTTACCATTTGATGCAGGACTTTTATTTCTTGAATATCCTGAATTGAAAGCAATTGATCCAGCTTATGCTTTGCCTGTTGATGTTATAAATAGGATTTTCTTTGGCAAGTAATGGATATATCATTTTATAGTGTTAGCAGCAATTCCCGTACTTAAATTATTTCTCTGATAATCGCGGTAACATACATATGTTCTCGGTTTCTCCATTTTGTTTGTTTTCACACAAGATGGACCTGAACCAATCATCTCTGAGGCGATAATAGATCTTGGATCTCTGATGAAATCACGCTCTATCTACCACTGAGTGTAATGTTCCTTTAGCATATCATCTTATCTGCTGGTTAGGACACCCATAAATCTCCAACGGAGAATTTTATTTATCCCCAAGCCTAGGAAAAGAGATTTTTGTGCCCCCATTGCTGTTGGCAACACGTAAAATAATTGTGAGACATATATCAGATCAGTGGTTCTCAATTGGATAAATGGTGGTGGATCCTGTCACGTTCATCCATGGTCATTAGTTCACCGACGGTGATGGTGGCTCCCACGATTTGCTTTTGCTTTTTTTCTTTTTTTCCTTGGACTATTATATCAGTCCGGAACACTCACAACGAAAGATGAAAAACTGATGGCTTCAATTTCAATGCGGGCTGGTCGTTGAGCCCTCCAATGCGAAAGTGGCCACTGTAATTTTATTAGTACGAGTTCAATTGTTTGGAAATTACATTCACTTTGGTTTCTGTAGTGTCTCCAACAAAAGATTCAGCTGTTTAGTGTCGAATGTGAAGGATTTAACTCTCTTCATTTAATCTTCCCCATGCCAACTGAGATCTACACCCAGCTATTGGCAAATTATAGTTATAAAGGAGAAAGACAAACTGAAACAAGACTAGAAAGAAAAGTAGTCTTTGAATCGTATGGAGATGATAAATCTTAAGCACATGAGAGTGACCAGAAGATCCAAACATATTTAATGTCGGTACTGCAAGCAGTGAAGATTGTTATTCAGTTTTGTATTATGAATGAAGAACTCGCCATAAACATCAATTTCATAGCTAGATAATTGCAAGAACAACATCCGAACCAAATTAAATTGCTTGCTTCCAAATCCAATTCCACTGTGTGTGGTACAATAATGGAGGGTTTGTTTACTTGTGATCTCGTGAGACAGGATGATCCCCAAATTCCACAACATTGAAACTAATAAAGCATCACGTGCGAAATTGTGCAGCCTCCCTCCTAGGCTTGGCTAATACAATACAAGCCGTCACCACCGTAATATAATATATAAAAATAAATTTCAAACACATTTCACGTGCCACACAGAACAAACTTGTCCATTACTCTAATGTAGGATTAAATAATTGTTTGTGGGCAGCCAAAGTGAAAGAAGTCACAGAGTTTGAGAAACAAAATGCATCAAGTTGGATAAGACACATTTACGTCAAGATGCGTGCACTCTACCACCTAATCCCTGTGCATTCACAGTCGTTTTTGTTCAATCTGATTCTGACGTCTACTCATCTTTCCTATCAAATCTAAATATTTACCTAAATTACAAGGAAGATACCCATTTTCCAAATTTAACTATTGCTAGGCTAGTAAGATTGGATTTCTTGATTTCAATTTACAAAGTGCCCTGTTGAGAGACGATACAGAAATAGAAATATGAAAGCATCAATGCAAAAACAGCTAGCTACTCTGCTCCCTTCCCTACCCTCTATACACGAGATGAGCTCTTCATCATCCATTCATTTCATCTCGAACTGTACTTCACCCTCTAATTGCATTCACCGATAATGTTATGTATATTCACAAACTTATTAATCATTTTATTAACCTTTGTAAATATAAAACATAATATGAATATCATATATAAATAAAATAGATAATGCTTTTAATGTTCCACTACAAATTCAATTTTCCATTCGGAAAACTACAGTTGTAATCATGATTATTTTAAGGAGAGAGCTCGTTTTTCCATGCACTTTCAATCTCTTTTTAAAAAAATATATCATTCTTGTGATAAGCATTAGGGGGTTCAGCACAAGTAATGATTTTTCTGACTCATACATAGGATTTTTAACTTTAAAACAAGATTAAATTAGAAAATGGGTAGCATAAACTTGAAGTTCGATCTAAAATTCAAAATGCAACAACTGGAAATAGTCCAGCCGGGTCTCATCGAGGAACGGGAGTGTACTATTTGAGTACTTGATGGTCACGAAATAAAATATCTAATTTAGCATGTCAGAAACCTTGACAAGGTTAGAAATTAGAGCAAGAGAGTGAAGATTATTCTTTGTGGATATGCGTGCTTACTTAAAAGTAATTTCCAGCTTGTGTTCGTACAATTATTGTCTTGTATCTTCATTCATGCACTATTTTCCTCATTTTACCCCTACTTTAATTTATCACTTTAGTTAAAACTCATCTTTCCACTAAAAGTCATTGTTTGACCACCATTTGTTAAATAGGTTATTGATTTTTCACTTAATTACTAACACTGCTCTTGGTCTTGGGGTTAATTCATAATTATGATTATAAAAGTGTAATGATTGATAAAGAAAAAAATGATGTAAAAGAGAAAAAATGATGATTAAAAACTAATAAAATGGTGGACCACCCTTTCCTTCATTAACCTCTAAAATATCTTTTACTCGCATATTTCCAACACCTGCTCCACCTCCACTTGTATTTTTTTCTTATTATAATATTGCACGCATCTCCACGTACCTTATATATTTATTTTTTGGAATTAAATTCCCAACTTTAAATGAAATTAAATTTTAACTGTAAAGAGATATGGCATTCTAATTCTATAATGCTCTTGTACTGCCCAGCTGGCATTTTTGTCAGCAAAGTAAAACCAAAAAACAAAGGTGATAAAGTCAGCTACTCTCTGCTCTTCCATATTTACTATACTCACTTTCCTTTATTCGTTATTTTTATTTTTCATTTTAGTTATTTAAACTTCAATAAACACTAGTTTTCTTTTTAAAACATATTAAATATTTATACATCAATTACATTTTGCCATCTGTTTTTCTATTTAAATATTTTGTTCATCCAATTAGAACTAAAGTAATCCATTGAAATTAGTATGAGATGATACTAATTTCAATGGATTAGTATAATACGGATCGGTAGAAGTTGTAAGTGGAGGAAGAGAGTAGAGTGAATTATATATCTTCGAGAGTATGAAAGTTTTATAAAAGATATTTCAAAGCGTGAGAAGAAAGGGGGACCCTTTTTTTTATTTTTAACTCATACTGCCATTGACAACTGGACACATAAGTGAAACAGCTGTCTCTCACCACTTGTCAACTCTTCATTCGTCTAGATCAATACTCCAATCCATCCCTTATTTTAAACAGCGACATGTCGTACCAAGTGCAGCCCCACTGCGTCCACTCCACAGTTCACAGCTTTGGCCAGCTAATACCTAAATCATGCATAGCAACGGCTACATTTTTAATTTTAGCTTATTTGTCAATTTATTCATGTCTCGAATCCTACGTGGGATATTACATGGCATGAGAACCGGATGACGTGGCCAATAAGATAGTAAATGGTGCTTGTTAAAGAAGCCAATAGAATTGGCTATAAAATCCCAGTGTTCTGTAAACTCTCAGCAGAGCATTTCACAGAAAAAGCTCCAACTCTCTCGGCTCTCTCTCTCTCTCTTCCTCTTCCTCTCCAATGGCTAAAATGTCTGTGCTTCTGGGTTTCTTTGTGGGTTTTGTTTTGCTTGGTTTGGTTAGCTCAAGAAACTTTGAAGAGCTATACCAGCCTAGCTGGGCTCTTGATCATTTTACTCAAGAAGGGGACACTCTCAAGCTCAAGCTTGATAACTATTCTGGTAAATAACAGTTATCTTTGTGTTTCAAGACCATTAACTTCCTTTTATGCATTATGTTGTTCATTCAGCTATTTTATCTGTTGATTGTTCTTTGAAACCTCATTATACTTTTTCTCCTGGCTTTCATTTGAGCGATGTTTTAAGAGTAATAATGAATAATGGGTTGCTGATTTCAGGTGCCGGATTTGGATCAAAGAGCAAGTACATGTTTGGGAAAGTCTCAATGCAAATTAAACTAGTCGAGGGAGACTCTGCTGGAACTGTTACTGCTTTCTATGTGAGTGTTATTCATGTCTCATAAAAAAATGAATGAAAGATTATTCATCTTCTTCTTCATATTAGCCCCATTTTAATTTTTTTACCTTAACTCATTTTCTCTACCTACTTTACTTTGATTATTTGGTAATAACTCAGCTTTATCTACTCCTTGAGGCGGGACCCGATTTAATAATGTTAAACGCAATTAAGCCAAACCATTGAAAAATTTTCATTTACAGACAAAACTCAAAGTTTGGCTTTATTTGGAGTCATGAAATAGTTATAATAGCCAAGCTAATAACTAGTAACACTTCGTCTAGCACGGTTACCGACTCCTGTCACCCTCATGAACTTCATTAATGTTAATATTTATTTAATCACAGTCCCATCATAGCCCTGCAACCAATAATATCATTTCGAGCTGCATCTTCTCTTCTACCCTTCGTTTGAGTAATCGTCATCACGGAGAACCAAAAATCAATGTTCTTTCCATATTAGCTGTAGAACTGTTAGGCTCCATCAATATCCTTTACTCTCTTGTTCTGTTATAATTATTCCTTGTGTGTTTAATTTACATGTTTCTGACTCTGATATTTCTTTTATGAAACCCAGATGTCATCAGATGGTCCAAATCACAACGAGTTTGATTTTGAGTTCCTGGGGAACACCACAGGTGAACCCTACCTGATCCAAACCAATGTGTATGTGAATGGCGTAGGTAACAGGGAACAGAGAATGGACCTCTGGTTCGACCCCACCAAGGACTTTCACACTTATTCAGTCCTATGGAACCAGCGCCAAGTTGTGTAAGCACCATCTTTTTCTTCTTCACTAAAAATATATAAAATTACAGGCATAATATTTGTATTTGTTATGGATGTACTTGTATATTTGGGTGCATATTAGCTTTTTTTTACCTTCAGGAATCTGAAAAGCTCTAAATAAAGGGGAGGGGAATAATAGTGCAGTATTAATAATCAGTGACAAGTGAAGTAACATAAACAAATTATTTAACATGAATCGTGTGTGCACAGTGGGTGACATTAGATTTTGGTTGGTATAGAAAGGTCCATAGGAAGTAACAAACCCACAAAAAGGGAACGAATCTTGGATGACTTATACATGCCCCTATGGGTCCCATTCAGATCTACAGAGAAACATGTACACTCTGTAATGTTTCCTATATTCACCGTGGCTTATCTCAATGTCATACTCCACCTAGTTTCTAATGATTCCTACCGACTCCTCTGTGAGGTGGGGTAGGAGATAACTCAATGCATTTTCACCTAGGTCTCTGTGAAATGAATTATGTAATGTTCAAGGCGTCATTAAATTTGGTAGGTAAGGATATTGTATATTTAGTGTAACATCTATATAACAATGTTTGTAATTTGGGTATCTGATATATAGTTCAATGTCTTGATTTTGTTCAGATTTTTGGTGGATGAGACCCCAGTTAGAGTGCACACCAACTTGGAACACAAAGGAATTCCCTTTCCTAAGGATCAACCCATGGGAGTGTACAGTTCAATATGGAATGCAGATGACTGGGCCACACAAGGTGGCCGGATCAAAACTGACTGGAGCCATGCACCCTTCGTAGCCTCATACAAGGGCTTTGAAATCGATGCGTGCGAATGCCCAGTATCAGTAGCAGCAGTTGATAATGCAAAGAAATGTAGCAGCAGTGCCGAGAAAAGGTACTGGTGGGATGAGCCTACAATGTCCGAGCTGAGTTTGCACCAAAACCACCAGCTTTTGTGGGTTCGAGCCAATCACCTCATCTATGACTACTGCGCTGATGCTGCTAGGTTCCCAGTCACTCCCACAGAGTGTGTGCATCACCGCCACTAGTTGATGGTTGGGTTTTGGTTGTTTGGCTATGAAGAAGAAGATGATGATGACGTTCTGGTTGTGTAAAAAAAGGGGTCGGAAAGTTCATAGTCATAAACATGAACTCCATGTTGTTTTGTTCGTTGTGGTTGTAGATTGTATGATAGTACCAATAAGATTAATGTCATTTGAATTTCTAAAATTTATTACTTGCCACCAAGTTACCAACCATACAACTTAAACATTAAATGTGGAAAGGGTCCCTAAAGCTTTAATAAAATCTAGTCTCCTCCGCTCATGAACGGTAGATATGGAGATTTGAGGTAAATCATCAAGAGGAAGAATATAAATAATTATGGTGTTGTGGAGCCCATCGCTTTTGTGATGCAGATTGAAGCTTCATCTCTTATAGGATGATGTCTCCGTAGCGTAAATTCCTTTTAGCTAATGCAAAAAGCAAAAGTAGAGGGGACCCTATAGATGAAAGTAAGCAGACAGATGAGAAACCAGTTTTACCAGCTATATTGTTGATCAACGTGGACCGGTTTATGGCCATAATACAAAATTCAATGAATGTTAAAAGAGGGTACAATTAAAGTTGCGAAAGTTGGATTGCTTTTCATAAGTTAAGAATTAACTATTTTATGAGTTCGGACTTATTTAGAAGTATGATCCAAATAGTTAGAAAAATTGGGGTTCTTAACAATTATTCTAAGAAATGAAAGTGAGAAGGTTAATTTCCCAAGTGATGGAGCCCTGAGGTAAGTCCAAGATTAATTATAAGTCAATGTTCTGGAATTACTCCTTAAGTCTGCCATACTTTGTTTCACACTTTTATCTTGTAATCTTCGATAACAAACGAAGGGTTGATATAGACAGGAACTAAATATCTCGTACTAAAAAACACCAATGCTCCATATTTTAAGTAGCCAACCTGAAAAACATCTATATATATTTATCATAGTAGTGTTTCAAGTTGGATCTGGAAAAAATCTATGTAGTTGGATCAGTTTGCATGACCGGAATTCAGTAAGAAAAAAGTATTGCAATCACTTATGCCATGTATTGATTTCCGATATGGATCTAACAGAGGCACATGAATATCAAAATATAATATTTTGTTTGACACATCAATATCCTCAGCTGCTAGGTGTATATTCAAACTGGTTGTCATTAATCTTTCAATTTCAATAAAAGATTAGTCATTTATATGTGTGGTTATTATCTGCTTCGTGCAAAAAACAAAGCTCCTCTCCTATTCCTAACAATGACTTGTAAAAGACCTTTGTGTTTGAATACACCTAAATAATGCAGATAGACAAAATAATTCAGGATTATATCAAATCCTGCTTTGTTATTAGTGATCCCGTTCTCACCCTTTTTTCCAAGAAGGAAAAACATGTGTCAACTGAATAATTAAGTTGTAAACATTATTTAGAAAGTGGACCCTGAATTTACCTTTTATTTTTGGGAAATGGGGTCAAGATGTTCTTCTATGTGACTAATGAGAGTTGAGCTCTGCACTAGAGCGCTCCCCCCTCGGAATCACTCATTGCATTTATATTAATAATTTTAAAAGCAAACTCAAAAGAACAGACCCCATGGACACGCCAATATTAAATATGATGGGTGGTGAACGAATTTACTCAATGCCTTTAATGAGACATGGGTGTGGCAAAAAAGTTTGATAGGGGTCAATTTTAAGAATCAATTGGTTCTCATGCTCTGCCTCTGGAGGGCCCTCTTGATCAATACAAAGAATAAAATAGAAGCACACAGAAACCTCAAGTGGATTTGTTAGAAAAAAGAAAAACAGCTCAAATGAAAGAAATATTACTGGTAATTGAAATTCACAACCATGTGTAGAAGAAGAGAGGAAAAGGTTAAAGACTTGAGAGATCAAATCCAAATACAAGTGAAGCCCACTTAAACTATGTTAAATGATGACTGAAATTTTTTATTGGAATGGAGTGAAAGAGGTAGATTAGACATATGAAGGTGGCAGAAAAAGCCAATTTTTTAATCAATTCACTCGAATTATTGGAGGATTAAGATTAACTATTAGTCTATAACTAATACAAATTCTTCTACTCTGTCTCTGTCCATAATGGAAAAAGTCTCTCAATCATAACCAAGGATAAGGGTTAAAAATAAGCAATAATGGTAGCCTATAATGATTTATAAGAACTGAAGCAGAGGCATTAATGAGGTATTGGCTGTCATCCAACATTTAAGAATCAACTTCAGATAATTGTAAATGATAGCATATAAAAATTCTAAAGCCATACTCATTAATAAAATATAAAACTAAAAGCATTCGGCTTACATTTATCATACTCTAATTAAAATTTTGGTGATAAAGAGAACCTATTAAACACGAATCAAGTTCCTTTCAACTAATTTTTTATAGTAGCTTTAGATCACACAGAAAACTACTGCTACGCCTGTTGAGCACTGAACCTGAGAATTATTTGGCTTTTAAACAACTTGAAATGATAGCAGTAATGCCCCTGAAACCACAAATCATTTCAGTTTTAAATTAATACTCCCTCATCATCAACCATCTTCAAGCAAATCCAATAAACCAGTAAACACCACTTCTTAAAAGATATGTAATAAACATTAAACACATGTCAATAATTGTCTCGATACTGCTCTGAAAATCATAAAAGTATTTAGCGTATCTAATGCATAGATCTTTGATCATTAGAATACACTTGAGGCTGTGTAGATTTCAAAATGTTGTGCTACAAAAAGGCAACATAGTAATAATATAAGGTTAACACGAGTCCACACCACAACAATGAAGTTGAAAATAAATAATTAAACATGAAAAAGATAGAGAAAACAAGAAACACATACACGATAAATAATATGAAATATATATAATTAATTTTTTAATACATGCCTCTAGAAGCCTCCACACCGAAAATCAACTACGCTTTTATATAAAACAGAGCGATGGTAGATATAAGAATAGATTCATTAACTTTTGAAGCGTATTTAGCAGACGTGCTAGGATGATCAGAATTATATAACACAGACTAAATATGATAAGCATATGGAATACACATAAAGCGTATGTATGAAAATTAACTTCAATGTGTTTGTATACATGAAACAATGAGAGAATCCAATGAAAGATTTCATTTTAAGCCCATTTAACACATGGGAGGCAGAAAGACTAAATAGACTTATACACATCACACATCCGCTTGATCAGTATATTCACACCATAAATTCACAAAAAAACATGATACGAATACATCAAAATTACGTGCATCAGTCTGGATATGTCGATGTCACCGTAGAAATAGAGAAACACTCCAATCAATCAAACATCATTTTTCATCCCAAATCACTTGATAGACCCTGCTCACACTAAAAATGAGTAAACGCATCATAGTAAGTCAAATATAATCACTGAATTACAATACACACCATAACAAAATATATTAACTCAATCATGCAACCTGATTTTTATTAATTTTTTTTGGGGTCATAGAGACAAATCAAATCCACCATAAATCCTCTCCCACTTTTGTAAATTTACCATATTCTAAAACCTGATTTAATATTATTATTTTAGTTAGTTCATTTAGGTGCTATTATAATGTGTTTAGTTACTTGTTTTCACTTACAAATTTGAAGGAAAAGGATACTTTAAATTGAGATAGGTAGGTTTTCCGGTTGAAAGCCGAAATAAAGGGATGGGGACTAAACAAGAAACAAGTAGGGGCGGGATGTTTAGCGTCATTGTTAAATAAAAACAAAGTGGACCAATGGGCCAATGGGCCGCATTGTAGCAATGGCAAGCAGCAGCAACCCCAGTGATGGATATTGTTTTCGTGATTCCAAACAAGAAATTAAATTGTTTTAACACAGTATAATCACATGGAACTCCACAGCCACATGCATTACCACAATCGTTCCAAGGCTCATAATCCGAAGACCGAAAATGGGCCATCGAGTTCAGGCCCTGTTCCTTTTGATTGCATTCTTACATCCACCAGGCACCCAAAACCCAGCAAAGTTTGCAGATTGGTTGATAAGATTGAGGGTTCTTGTCTGCACCATCATATCCAACCATAAACATGTGGAGCACGTACTCTGCTTCCACTTCCAGACATTTCATAAACATAGTTCTACCATTCTTACGACACCAAGCATTTTCATTTTAACATAACAATCACTTAATGATATTTACCAGAAGTATAACAATTTAGATAGAAGTCGGCCACGGTTAGTGTTCCAATATGTATTCTCATCACCTATACATGATGCGTGATTTTAACAGCAACGATCTTGCGCGTGTAAAGTGCTAAGAGGATATTAGAAGTTACACGTAATATGATTGTGAGAGTTGTATATGATGCAAAGATAATACATGTTTGAAGAAACATAAATAAAAGATTGACAAGAGAGATTTTTATATTGGTTCAAATGTTTAAAGCGAATCCTACATCCATTGTTATTTTATTATTCTTTGACCATTTTTCTAATATTGCCTGTAAGGCATATAAAAATAGCTTAATGATTTATTTACAGAGAAAAATAATGGTTGAAGCTCACATTTGTGCCCAACTCTCATATGCCTAACCCTCCTTTATTTCATGAAGAGAGTTGCTAATTTATGCACCTTTGAGCTCAACGTAATTAATGTTTTTGCAAGTTGCCTTGACACATGAAGAGCTCTCATTCATCCTGATGCTTTATTTTGATAAAGGTGGGACATGTGTTATATAATATCTCTTTGAGGCAATTTAGGATTTTGACAGCTAATACCACTTTGCCTTTAAGTGCTTCTTGAGCTCTGATTGGTGGTGCTGACATCATTGTGTATTTTTGGCATAACGGAACCCTCCTAGTTTTTAGAGTGCGTAATGGCACTTCAAAAACTCATGTTTTCGATCTGAATTATGTCTGGAATGATTGGGTGCTAAGAGTTAGGACTGTAATATGAGAGCTTAGAGTGATCCGAAGCTGATCACGATCTGATAACTGACATAAAATGTTTAGCAGATGAATTTCTAGAGAGAGCTGACGTCAGAAGCCCAAACAGACGGTTCAGAGGTCCTAAACGAATATGTCAACTTAAAACAAACATAACTTTTGATCCGGGAGAAGTTTTGGAGCCCTAAAATAATCATGGAAAGCTCGTTCCGAGCTCTATGTCATGGCAACAAGGGAACTAGGTTGGGGCCATTTTCGGGGCCAAAATCCACTGTTTCGGTATGTTTCGGGGCTGTTTTAAGTTTTTTACGCGTTTTTTCTGACGCTGGCAGTTGGTCGCGATCTGAGAGCTGAGAACTGATCGCGATCTGAGGTTGTTCATAATCTCAGAGTTGAGAGTTGATCGCGATTTGAGAGCTAGGAGCTAATCGAGATTTGATATGGGCTCGATCTGAGAGCTTAAGGCGGGCGATCTAAACGATCTGAAGCGCGCAATCTAAGAGTTTAAGGAGCTCGATATGTGCATGTGATCTAAGCAATCTAAAGCACGCAATCTGAATGATCTAATGCACGTGATCTCAAGTAAATGAGCGAGCTTATGAGCTCGATCAGAGAGTATAAAGAGCTCAATTAAAGAGCATAAAGAGTTCGATCAGAAAGCGCGATGCTTGATCTAAGAACACAAGAAGTTCGATCAGAAAGTGCAAAACTTGATCTAAGAATACAAGAAGTTTGATCAGAAAAGGCAAAGTTTTATCTGAGAACATAAGAAGTTTGATCAGAAAGTGCAGAGCTTGATATGAGAACACAAAATTATCGATCTAAGTGCTCAGAAGTGCGATCTAGGTGCTTGGAAGCATGATCTAGGTGCTTGAAAGTGTGATCTGGGTGCTCAAAAGCATGATCTGGTTGCTCGAAAATGCGATCTAGGTGCTCAAAAGCATGATTTGGGTGCTTGGAAGCGTGATCTAGCCTCTTAGAAAAGCAATTTGGGTGCTCAAAAGCACGATTTGGCTGCTCAAAAGCACGATCTGAGTGCTTGTAAGCGCGATCTGAGTGCTCGAAGCACGATCTGACTGCTTAGAAATGCGATATGACCACTCGGAAGTACGATCTGAGTGATCTAACGATCTTGAACGCATGATCTCAACGATCTTGAACGCGTGATCTCAACAATCTTGAACGCGTGATCACAATGATCTTGAACGCATGATTTGAGAGTTTTGAGAGCTCGATAGCTTGGGAGCTTGAGAGCTTGGGAGCTCGAGAGCTTGAGAGATCGATCTGATCTGAGAGATCTGATGTGCATGATCTAAGCTATCTGAAGCACGCGATCTGAAGCTGAAAATCAAAGCGATCTGAACATGCAATCTGAGAGCTTTGATGTGCGTGATGTGAGAGATTTGGCCGTGCGATCTGAAGCTGAAGATTAGAGCGATTTGGCTACACGATCTGACAGATTTGATGCGCGCGATTTGAGCGACCTGGCCACACGATATGACAAATCTGAAATAGGTTTCATTATTTTGACGATAACTTGAGTTGTAGATCTCGGATTTGGATGATTCTTAGACCATCAGAAAGCTAACTCGAAAGTGCTACAATTCTTGCGTTTGCGGCTTCTCCAGATTTAGACTTTATCCTACTCAAATTTCTACATATGATAACGTGATTCTAGAAAAAGAAACTAGAATCTATTGAAGAAGTTGACACTTGCTAGAAAAACATGGAGAGCTGATGTGAATCAGGCCCTCCTTCTAGCACCAAACTATTGATGCGTGATTTTAACAGCAACGATCTTGCGCGTGTAAAGTGCTAAGAGGATATTAGAAGTTACACGTAATATAATTGTGAGAGTTGTATATGATGCAGAAATAATACATGTTTGAAGAAATATAAATAAAAGATTGACAAGAGAGATTTTTATATTGGTTCAAATGTTTAAAGCGAATCCTACATCCATTGTTATTTTATTATTCTTTGACTATTTTTCTAATATTGCTTGTAAAGCATACAAAAATGGTGTAATGCTTTGTTTACAGGAAAAGATAATGGTTGAAGCTCACAACTCTCATATGCCAAACCCTTCTTTATTTCATGAAGAGAGTTGCTAATTTATATACATTTGAGCTCAACATAATGATTGCTTTTGTAAATTGTCTTGACATATAGAGAGCTCTCATTCATCCTGATCCATTATTTTGATAAAGGTGGGACAAATGTTATATAATATCTCTTTAAGGCGGCTTGAATTTTTGACAACTAATATCACTTTGCCTCAAGTGTTTGTTAAGCTCTAATCGGTGGTGTTAACATTAGTGTGTATTTTTTGCATAACAACATATTTCCTAGTTTTTACTTTTTAATTCATCCTTATTGTATCTATTTACAAAGTTTTATTAAATTTAGCATACTAAACTAGAGTAATTAATAGTAGGAGTGTTGTATTGAAATTTTTCTGGAATAAGCCAAGTGAAAAGATTTGAATATAGAAATTCGGAAGCTGTCCAAGGCATATCAGTAACCGACTTTCAAGATCCCCATGCAAATTACCTACTCTCTCATATAACAATTGGATCCAGCTCAATGAAGATCTTTATGAAGTCAAACGTGTGAACTTTGTCTAAGCGATTTCATTAATTAAAATAGTAAATAAATACTGTATAGAAAACTATTTAGATGTTACGGTCGCAGGCAGGCGGCAGGTAATATTATTATACTGCACGAATCTTCATATATCGAGAATTAAAAAAAAAAGTGATCGTCTTTTGAAAACGAACAAAATAGCTAGTGGTAATGGGTGACATCTTGGATTGTGGAATAAAAAGCGGCCGACGCAAATCTTGTATTCAAGATGCCAAACAGCGCGGGATCCTTATTGAAGTAGATGATATTGATAACCCTCTTGAGATTTTCTCAATAATTGTTTTTATATAGCCATAAAATACTACTTCACGTGAAGGATTGCATGCCCAAACCCACCACCGAAAGGAAAGTTTCATTGTACGTTGTATCATATTTATCTTTATAATTAAGTCAGAAATTCTTAACATATCAATTGAAAGTGGGCATATTAAGGGGTAGAATTTAGAAATTAGAATTCTAAAGTAAGTGATATAATAAGCATTGCTGATTATAAGATAAAGTAACAAATTATTGTGTTAAAATATAAGAATGATTTGTATTAATTCAAACTTATATTACATAATTATTTATGCATTGCACATATTTTGTGAGGAATTAGTCAACATTGAAGTGGATTCCTGAGCATATAATAGCATTGAGGCGTTGACAGTAAGTAGTTGGGTCTTGGGTGCATACTGGCTGTCTATAACCCACTTACTACCGACTCTACGCATAACGCTTTAATTAAAACTAACCACCAGTAAACCAAAACTCTTGACTTTTCATTCTCGACTCCACCTTTTACAGTTTTACTTTCATTTTTTAACTTCCCAATTAAGGTAATTTATGAAAACCATTTTTATTCGATAAAATTAAAATCAATTTTGAAACTAAATTCTGTAAAATTATTCAATTCTATCAAATGTAGTTTAACTTTTTTATAAATAATTTTATAAAATAAATATGAAATGAGTCCAAATGAGTCTCACATCACATCAGAGTCCAATCAATAGGATCAATTACGATGATTGAATTACTTTGAAGCGATCGAGTAGTTGAATATAAATTTTTAGATATTGTACAAGTGATTTTAAGTTTGATTTATCTTGATTACCAATAAAAATGATCATTGGTTAACTTTCAAACGTTAAAAATTAGTTAAAAAACAGATAAATTAACTCAAATACCACCTTTAAACAAAATAAATAAATAAATAATAACCACAATTGATCGGTGAAATTTTAGAAGCATGAGAATTGACAATGATATTACATAGACCCCACGCGTCCCAGCTGGTGTTGCCAACTTACCTCAAATTTTGTGAACCTATCATTTAAATAAAGTTGTTATGTCCCACGCAACTTGTAATGCAAATACAGTACAATTACACTTAATCACCAAAATTTGGGTAATATTTTCTTCACAACTAATGTAAATATATACTCTAATATTTTTAATTATCCCCACATTCTGCGCTACAAAAGGGTTTTTCTTTATTTTATCGAATACATTAATATTACATGAGTGGACAAAAAGAAAATGATTATCTCATGGCACAATGAGTGAAACCATTGAAAAGAAAAGTAAACAACGAAAGTAGAAAATTAACGGAAAGTTCCTCTTAGAATCCAGTTAATAGTTTGAACTGTTGTATAAAGACAGGTGTCACCTTAAAATTCTCCGAGTCCTACGTTTGGCACCCTGGCTGTGGCAGGGTGTGCCCAGCTTTAGGAGAATCAATTCAACTCAACTGCTGACATGGGTCCACACTCTATTCTAGCTCACTGAAATTTCTTTGCTGTTTCTCAACCACACGTTCATTTCAAATCCAACAATCTTAACCATCCGTTTCCTTCCTCTCTATATATACCCTTCAAACACTTCACAATCTTCCAAATGCAAGCAAATTTATATTCACTTTCTCAATTTGCATTGGCGAATCTGATTTAGATTCAGGAGCCTAAATCTTTCTTGTCTTTGCATATTCTATAAACATGGCTAGACTTGTCCTGGTTTTGTTTATTGTTGTTGGGATCTTGGTGTTGCAAGCGGTGGCTGAGAAATCTGAGGTGAACCCATCTGTAGTCAAGTCTCAGAGCGAGGATGAACCAGCTGGAATATCAGATCAACCTGCTTCAAGTCCCTCAAAGTCATCATCTGATGAGTCTACAGCAGCTGAGGCTCCGGAGATCAGACGGATGGGAAAGCATCATTCATCTGATAAGTCAGTGGCTGGTGGCGGAGTCATCATTGGCGGGCTTGTCACTGCTATTTTTGCGGCTGTTTTTTGCTACATCAGAGTAACTAGAAGAAATAATGGTGCTAAGTGACCAATCTTGGTGATTCTTTTGGATATTTTCTTTTCCCTCTTCGTTGCGTAGGGGTGAGGAGTGATTTTGATACGAAATTATAATGTGATCTGAGAAATTAGCAGAGATTTTTTTATACCTTAATGTGAATATTAGATTGAAATTTCTATATAGTAAATATTTATTTGTCTGCATTTTTTGTTCTTTGTTGTCCTCCCTCCTCCCCCCCGCGTTTAAAAATGAAAATCTGGGAGATGGTATAAAGTTAATGTATAATGGTATCATGAATTGTCCCCCCCCCCAAAAAAAAAAAAAAACTCTTCATGATTAAGCTTTAGGTGCCCTACTCTGTAATCTTGATAACTAACTGTAATATTGTTCCTCTTGTAGCAAAAAACGAAACTGATTTAATTTAATGTCTTTCATTCTTGTCAATGGAATATTCTCAACTCTGAGCAAATTATGTCTTTTCAACATGGCAAGATCCGTGTTCGCAAGCGAGTTCTGTGATTTCTTAGTTCTAATGAAGTCTGTATAGGCCATAACCAGGAAGTAGGATGAGACTTTGTTATCAGTATATAGATGTTGCAATTTCCTAATGTGTGGGAACACCACAAAAATCAGATCATGACCTTACAACCCAAAGCTAGGATTTGAATGGGTTTCACATTTGGCCTTGGTATCATAAAAAGAATGTTATAAGTCAAAAAAGTGGCAAAGATGCAGAGTTCAGAATTTATTTTTACATTAATGAAATAGACCGTTGTATTGTTGTGTCTAGAAGGTTGTAGAAGTCATAATTGTCATCCCTGTAATTCAATTCAACTCCTATGACATTAAAAATTGGGTCTGCACCCATAACCATATTGGAGGTCTAGCGTTTAACAAAAGTGATCCCTTACTTAATTTAATGCTACAATAACTTTCATTTGTTGGAATTAAAGCAACCAAAGATACAAAAGACATCACATGTCCATGATATACAGTTTAACACATTTTGATCATCAAATTCTCAATTCTAACACTGTAAAATCGTTTAATTTGATATTAATTATATCCCCAGGTAGCCATTAGACATAGTTGGGCTTAAATTTCTCTTAACCCGGGCTAATTTGAAGTGTAGCATGCCCTTATTTTTTCCATATACAGTATATACTCAACGGTTTTTCTTCCTTTTCCCTGTCGACTAACAAATAACATAAACCAAGAAGCATTAAACTCCTTCAAACCTTGCTCTACAAATGCACTTTCTCCTCTCTGTCTAAACTCTAAACCATAACGTCAAACTGAGCAGAAATGTCGCCTTCTTGTTCACAATCGTGGCAGGCACCAATCTACTTCACCCTCTCAGCAGCAGTCTTGGCCTTCATGGCAATCTCAACAGCCATGCATCATACCAACACTGCAACCCCAGTAACTAATCCCACCACCTATCAGCTCTCTTTAAACGCCTCCAGAGCTCTTAGAAGATCAGGCTTCAACATCATTGCCACTCTTCTCCAGGTTTCGCCTGAAATCTTCATGTCTTCTCCAAACTCAACAATCTTTGCCATCAAAGATTCTGCCATCTCCAAAACCTCTTTCCCTCCCTGGCTCTCGAAAGATCTTCTTCAGTACCATACCTCTCCTCTCAAGCTTTCCATGAATGACCTCTTAAAGAAGCCTCAAGGTAGTTGCTTCCCAACCCTTCTTAATGGACAGAAGATTGCCATAACCAAGATTGGTGCAAAGAAAAGACTTTTGGAGATCAATCACGTCTTGGTGTCACATCCTGACATGATTCTTGAAGGACCCTTGTCAATTCATGGAGTTCTTCGGCCATTTTCATCTTTTAATGCTCAAGATTCTCTCCAGGGTTGGAATTACATGCAATCACCAATATGTGATTCCAATTGTAGACTAGTTTCTGATTCCAACGAATCAAAGAATGTAGTCGAATGGAGCCGAATTATCCGTTTGCTAAGCTCAAATGGTTTTGTTTCATTTGCGATTGGTTTGCATTCTGTTCTTGGTGGGATTCTTGAAGATCACATGAACCTAAATTCAACAACAATCTTCGCTCCACTAGAGTTCTTGTTTGTAGCATCTCCTTCTCCATTGCTAGACAGAATTGTGAGATTTCATATACTCCCTCAAAGATTTACTTACAAAGAACTTGATTCTTTGCCTGATAAAGCATTATTGAGAACAATAGTTGCCCATCAATATCTTGAGATCACTGCAGGCGTTAACTCTACCCAAGGATTGTGTGTTAATGGAGAACAGATCATTGCACCTGACATTTTTTGGTCCAAGAAGTTCGTGATTCATGGAATATCTCAAGCTTTAGGAGATGGCAGAGCTTCCTAATACATCAAGATAGCAGAGTCTCGCATCACTTAGAGCTGGTAATGACGTATAGAAGAGTGTGCTATTGTGTTAGTTTAGATTGTTAACTTTTCTTTGTTCCACGTATGATGTCTCAGATAGAATAGTTTTTATGTGTCTCACTTTGTAGATTTTAAGTGTATTCCTTTTGGATGGTTTATGTTACCTGTCTATGGCTTCAGCTCTGATTTTTTTACTTGGATTTGTTACGACACCTGATTGTTATAATAGTTGTAAGATTAAACTATGACGCTTCTTTTGATGGCTTAACATATACTATACAATCTTTAACTTCAACCAAATCGGTTCCCAGAATCCTCATATCCTATGTATAAATCAGGGAAATTCTATAGCAAATATTGCAAATTTCGTGTAAGAGAAGTTTACACAAGAATGTTGATTCTTCTATTGCTAATGGCCCGATAAACCTTAACGATTCACATATCCTTTAATTATGCGGAACCAAATGCATTGGACCAACTAGAAGATTATAATGGTGCAAACTGTTCGAATATTACTGGAGAGATACAGGTATTTTGCATGTTGGGACGATCACTCATGAAAGCATTTGAGTTTGATGAAGTTTGATCTATTGGTATAGGCTTGAGGCTATGCCATTGGGCTGAGGCTAAACAGTCAAAAGGTGCAGCCGTGGAATGGACTGATAGCATCTTTCTTTCTTTGATATTCTTAACTAGTAGTACCACTACCACTGCCTGCCATTATACTGCTACAAGAGAGACAGTATGAAGGCCGGAAAAGCACCAAAGTCCACCGCGTGTTAACCTCGGACATGGGGCCACTGCAATATCCAAGTTATCCTTGTTAACTAGAACTGTCATTGTTTTTGTGGCTACTTCCTGGCTGTGTAATTGAAACCTCTCTCCAGCCAACAGCCTTTCCCCCATGGACAGTGACCCTTTATATGGTCCCATCTCTAGAGAAAACAGTACAAATATAACAAAAAAGTAAAGAAAAACACCATACCATTTTGAGCATGGTTGATAACATATGGTTACCCAAAAATGTTTTCAAGTATGACCCGGGAACTCATGGTAGAAAATGTGGCATCAGTTTGTGGTGGAAATTGACAAGAATCAAACTTACTTGCATGAAAAAATAAAATATATAAGATCATATGTCTGAAAACCCACACAACATATAGGAATACGGGCAGAAACAAGAATCAATAGAAGTTTATGCCCATTTTGAAAGGAAAGCAAGTAGTGGCAAAACTTCAATCTATAACTACTGGGGAAAAAATCAAAAGTACCCCTCTTCCGGAGAAATCTAAAGATCTTAAAGAAGGCTACTACTCAAACACAGACAAAAGTGCGTGGAGAGTTACATTTTTTTGTCTTGTAAATGCATGTGCTTTCTTGTTTGTATGGAACTTAAGTGCAGGATATCAAACTCCAGCACTCCACTTCCTACATTTTCTTTTTCACCATCTCCCAAACTATCTTCAACATTTGTACATCAGTGTATAATTTTGAATGCTAGAGAATGTGATTGCACAGCACACCAAAAATACTTTATTAAACACCACCAATCTAGAGTTCAATTAACCTAAACGTGAATCCAAGATTCATTCCAAGGTAATCCTCACATTTATAATTTCTTATCTCAACAACTGAATGTGAGATGACGCATCAGAAAGATTTATGCTACACCCATAGTATATCCACCAAAAGGAAGCATGAATGTTTGTCACTTGAGTTGAGAATTGAACTTACGCGGGTACTTGACTGTGCACATACCCATTCACAAAGTGCTTGACAATTCAAAATGCTGAAAATTCCAATGCTAACTTAGTAAATACAACAGCGAGCAGTAACTGATCCTACTCTGAAGACCTAACTTGCTCACAACCCAAGCATGATTTTTATCATCAAAGAACATTCAGTATATTAAAATTTGCAAGGCCACAATCAGCATAAATCAAAGAACACTGCCACGAATTACAACTCACAACTACAAACTTTATTCATCAGTGTTTGATCAAGGCAAAATTATTTACAAATCTCCCGAAAGTCAGTAGATACAATTATATTATAAAATACCATGTAAACCAATCTAGCTAATTCTATATTACAAAGTTAGGCAAATGAATTCATCAGCAACAGAGCATAAAATTCAATTGAGCTCTACAACAAATAACAATGGAATGAAATTCAACACTCATAAGCAGAAACTCTAGTTGTTCCATTAGAATCCGAGTATTTATTAGACCCCAATAACGAATATTAACCGCATACAACAACCTGACTTTCTAAATAACCCACCTATCCTCCTGAGCTCTGAGCCCCACATTGCCCACAAGAAACCGCACCAACAACCCTCATTCTTACCAGTCACTCCCAATCCTTCGTCAGCAAACCGTGATGGAAACAAGGCCTCCGTCAAATGCGCCGTAAACGACCCACGTCAACACCTCATCACAAAAATGGCAAACTTCGGTCGTCCGCTCACACGGCAAACGATCCATCAGCTCGGACACCGCGTGACAAAGGGGGGGGGGGGCTCCCCCCAAAAGCCAACCTCGATTTTGTTTCAGAGAAAACCTCTTGGCCCGCACCGGCCCCGAGATGCAGAGGACTTGTGTACAGAGAAGGCTGAGCTTAAGGAAGTTGCCTAGTTTGAAGTTTCGCATGTGAGCGTGGACCTTTTGGTTCCATGACTTGTGGACCAGCTATGACGTGGTTTTTTTTTTCGATTGGGAGGTTGTTTGACGTGCGTACTATCGCAAGGATGATTTTGGTGAATTGACCATAGGGTGTTTTTCGTGATGGCAATGTTCAGGGTTTGGAGGATCATCATTAATAGAGAGTAATGATGCTACTGTTATCGCCCGAAGGATATTTTTCTTAGATATCCGCGATGTTGTTTCTCCAATCTTCATCTAGCCTGTTTTCTTCTCTTATTTTTACGCCTTCTGGCTTGAGCACGATTTTCACTCGCTGGTCTCGCAATTCTTATTTTTTATAATTTTATTCAAAAGTATATATTTAAATTAATAAAAAAAAGCTAAAAAAACTTAATATAAATTATAAAGGAGAGTTGAATTGTTGATTTTGTGAGAGATAAAATCTGCTTTAACCTACATAATTCTATAAATTTTTTCTCACAAATTACAATAAATAGCTTAATAATCATTGTGCAACAGTTAGGACACGATAGATTATTTTACGATTATACATGGATTGTGAATTCCACATTAAATTGTGAGATGAAAGTTCAGCATTGAATGATATGTAAAAATATTAACCACATATTTTAAAATAAAGGTTTATCACATACCGCGTACTTTTCTGATAATTAGTTCAATTTAAAAGGATAAGTTATATTATTTATTATGTTTTATGTTATTATAACCGAGAAGTACGAGGTGATTGGGTGAGCTGTACCTAACGTACGTAGGCGTAGGTACAACCTTAAATCACATAAATCTTAACCTCAATTAAATATAAACAATAATATTCGACGGCAGCAACTATGGGCTTAAATCTTCCTCTAATTACAAAAATAGTGTTTAACCAATACATCTTACTAACTTCTCCACGAGCCTGTTCCCGGCAAAAAATCTTACAGCATTCGGTTCGGCGTCTGGACTAACATTTCAATTTCCCGCGCCCCAGTCGAATTTCTTAAACAGATTTCTTCTCTAGCATCGTCCCTTTAATTGTGGGTGACTATTATGACGAACAACGAACTCTATTTCCCAGTTTCAATCCTGACCGTCCGTTTACGCGTCTCTTATCCGACGATTCAACCCACCGGAGACATTAAATCCAATTCATGCCCGGTTTCTGGCTGGTATCTTTGGATTGTGGTATACGCGGTTTCCTTAATTACAAACTCATTAATGTGAGCTCAAATCTTGGAGAAATTCGCATGCGAGAGAACTGTTGATGAAAATGTACTGAACAGCAATGTCTTTTGTGGAATGCGTCTATTAGTGCTATTGCCAGACCAATTTCTTTTAGTGCAGATGTTGTTGAAAATGTATTAAAAAATGCAAGTTGGCGTGGGGCGTTACCGATGGCTTTTACCCTCCAGCGTGCCACAGCTGCATGGTCTTGCCGCAGGGGGGCGGGGTGAAAGGTCCGAAGGTAGTACATGGGCAGTAATTAATTAAGGCATGGTTTGATTCGAATTATTTGTGCACGAATGGTCTTGTGCATTTTATGCTAAAGTGCGGCCAAATTTGGTGTGTGCTAGGACTGTTTTGATTTGGTCATGATAGAAACTGTTGTTTTCTTGACTTCAATGCATTTCGGATATGCACGAACGCACAGCCTATGGAAGCTCTGAGATTAGTTTGATGGGGGGTGCAAATGAGGAACAAGAACTGTGGAACCTGATGGTCACTCTTGTGAGTATTTTGAAGGCTTACCCTGATAGTATGGAGACGTGGAGCAAGGGAAATCTGTTCATGGTTTTGTGATACCAATGGGGTCTTGAACTTGAAAACTGATTTGCCTTATTTCACTATACAAGCCATGTACTGCTAAAGGGGCATTGACAATTGCAAGATCATTGTTTGATAGGGTGAGAGATTCCAAAGTTAATTTTGTGGAATGCTATGATCTTCTAGGTTAGCAAGAAGGTTAAAGCGCAGAGGAAGCGGTGGAGTTATTCCGGTGAGATGATCTCAAAAGAATAGAAGACAGATCATACTGTTATTTGCATACTTAGTTTGTGCTCACATGGGATCTCGTGCGGTTTGCCAAAAGGATGGAGGATTATATCAGTCAGACAAGTAGGAGAAATGATATTATTCTGTAATACTGCCGTCCTTACTGATATGCAACTTGGAAGTGTATTTGTCAGTTTGTGCGTACGCAGTTATGAGCATGATTGTGGATTGGATGGCTAAGCACTAGAGAAGGAGCAAGCAAGAAAGCATTAGGCATAAGAGAAATGAACAGCATGAGTTAGGAAACGCCGTGAAAAGCAACTATTCTTGGAGGTAGAAGAGCAAGATTGA